CAGTACTACAAATATTAAGTTTGCGAATCAGTTCTTTAAACAAGGAGCACCTGCAATATTATTCTGGGAATTTGGACTAGATTGGGAAGCTGCTGCATCTCTCAATTTAGCAGCCTCTGCTTCCTTTTCTGCTGCTTCCTTTTTAGCAGCCTCAAATGCTGTTTTCCGTGCTTCAGCTGCTAATTTTGCAGCTTCCTTCTGCCTAGCCTGCATCATAGTTGATGACCTTACTTACTAGTTACAAGGGCCTTTAAGAGACTAGTTGACTACCAGTGAAGTAAAGCAAGACTGGTGGTAAGAAAATCTTCAACATGAAAAGCAACAGGAATAGCCTGGGGTAGGGGGTGGGGGGGACAATAGGTGCAATCAAAACTGATGGAACTCAAAACATTTACTCTGGTGAATAACAAATCCACTCCAATGTTACAACAATGAACTAGTCTCAAAGATCCTAAGCCCCCAAATCCAAATCGTGTGTAATTATGTGCAGAAAAAAGATCGCGTGATACAACGAATCTGAGGAAACAAACCTCTGCTTCTTGCCGGGCTCTTTCCTGCCTTAACTTTTCTTCCTTGACAGCTTGCTCTTTTCTTTTAGCTTCTTCAAGAGCTGCATCATCTCTGATTCGACGTTCAACAATCTGGGATTTTTGTTCATGATCCCTTTGGACCATAGATAAGTGTTTATCGAGCACTTCTGCACTACAAGAAAGCAATAGGATAAATACTGAAGACAATAAAAATTGACAATAAAGTACTACAAAGTTGCAGGTATACAACATAATTCATCTGATTACTTTTATAAGTTATAACCCATCTTTTAGAGACAATATACATGGTAGGATTTCCTGTCAATTTTTCCTCCTCGATTCTTTTTTGTAGCTAATAGAATGGTACCATTCTCATGAATGAATGAGCCATATTTTGTAATGCATAATTAGAAGGAACTATGGTCCTTTAGTACATGCACAAGTCCAGTATCAGTGTATCACAAATATTTGCAGCTGGAGGGAGTATATCCTATGACATCTCAACTAAAAAGTTTGAAAAGAATAGTAAGCATAGTCTAAAAGGTTAATTTAGGAATCTGAAGAATCAATGGTTAACTTTAAACAATGCAATAGACACAAATTCCACATCAGTGCACAAAGCTAAGGAATCAATATGACCGACTGTTTCATAACACATCAAAGATAGTTCATAAAAATGGCTCCTTAAAACAAAACACAATTACTGTACAGTGCACTTGAAAAAGAAAAAGAAAATGGCACTTATCTCTTATAACTCAAACACACATAACCTGGTTATGAGGGATAGAGTAATAGAAGTATTCAACGGAATATTGAACTCAAAACTTGAGCAATCTTATCACTTATCAGAGTGAAGCCTTCAATCAATCTAAATATCTAATAAATATAATGTATAAGAATTTTGCATGTAAGTACAGCTTATCTTCAGACTGAATTTTTATTTAAAGAAGTACACTAAAAGCAAGTTCCAGCAACCATTGTAATATACTTTGTCCCTTTGGAACAGAAATAAATTGAATTTGCAACCCATAAGGCCATGAATGTCATTCACCATGAAACAGATTTGCATGCAACAAATGGAGGTAGAGTAACTTAAGGGCAATCAGCACTCTAATTCTCTAAAACAATGGAGTAAGCTAGCTCAATACTGAGAACAACAGGTACTAACAAAAAGAGAAACTGCTAATATAAAGCTTATTTTGGACACAGATATTGGAATAGTACAAGAAACGCTTTGTGCCTTAAATGTTGCTCACTAAAAGAAATGTAATGTTTCTCTGCTATTTGAAAAAAAAACTATGGAAATTGCAATGAACACTTCAAGAAATGCAAGAGACATCTAGAAAGGAACATACATTCTTCTCTGGAAGTGTACATCGAGTCTTCTGTCTATCTCTTTTCTTGATTCTGCATATTTCTGAAGTCGTGCGAATGCAGAAATTGTTCTCTGAATTTCATTTTGGTGGCATACCTCCAATGAAGCTAGCTTATTTCTAACTTCTTCCTGAAGAACAAATATCATACATGATGAAGACAGGTATTTAAATAGATAAACAATGGGGTCCAAGAATGGTCCTTTGTTATTAAAGCAAGAGTGGAAGAGAATGCTGTAATTGGTGGGATGTTTTTAAATTCAATGTCATAAAAATATCCAATGTTATTGAATCATCCAATGAAAACAATGTCATCAGTGAACCTAGTGCCCTGCCCTTTCATACTTTCAAGTTTCAACAGTAGCATGACCTATTTTGCCTAGCTTGAAAATATTTTTCAAATCCTATAGAAATTAAAAACCAACAATTGTATGGCACAGGCATATCATCATCTGCTAGAAGAGTGATATAACATGGTCATGACCTAACATGAGTAAAATTGCTTCCCTGCTATCTTCTTGGGCATCAATCTTTTTAGGTTTGACATAAAAATAATGTTGTAATTGTATAGTATGCTCAAACTGATACCAAACTGACTAAGCACTTCTTTGATACAATCCAGAAAGCAAAAGCAGAATGTCAACATCAATTCTTCATGGAAGTCTTCATTGTTGCAACATGGGAGATACGAAAACAAAGAAATGATCAAATCTTCAGAGGAAATCAAGCTTCCTTCCAGTCTTGGAAAGCATGTTTTGTACATAATGTAAATCTTAATTTTCACAGATGTAAGCCTGTTCCTAGACTCAGCCTCTCCCTTTGGCTAAACAGCCTGTTGTAATGTTTCCTAGTTTACCCTTGATGGGTTTGGTGTACAGCTTTGCTTACTCTTTTATATATTTATATATATAATGCCACAGTAGGGGTGTGACGTATCCAGAAAGTATGAAGGGAACCAAAGCGCTACATTCAAAATTTCTTGCAGTATAATTTTAGCCAGATAAACATAAAAAGAGTATGTGCAAGTATCCGTATTCCACTGTTTGGATCAATAAAAGAATATTATCAAATGCTAAGCATAAAGAGAACCTTATTATGAACCTAAACTGCAATGAGGACAAAACAAAGTCCAATGGTTTATCGCAAAGACATGCAGGCAAAACATTATAAAATGCTCAGTACACACTTGAACTTTTAGATGATGCTCGCGCTCCAGCTCAAGAAGAATGCTCTTCGCTAGGTCCCTTTTCTCCATTAAGCGGTATGGGGCAACCTGGCCATCTAATTCATCCTCTGAATCACTGCAAAGAAACGAAAGAACATAACTAACAAATTATTGTATGCATAAAGTTACCAGGGAAGCTTCTACAGTTTTGGAAAGGGGAAAAAACACATGCTACAGAGCATACTTAATGGTCCAACGGGATCCTTATGCTTCATAGTTTGTCAAGACAGAAGTTGCCTTCCTTACAATTATCCCTCCCTCTACAGGAAGTTAATCCAGAAACCATGACACAAATTCCATGGAAACTGTAATTTCATGTACCCAGTTGCAGATCAAAATTCACCTTGATTCGAGATCATTACACGAGAACCTTGCTCCTTTGGCCACGAGAGCCCGGGACTTCCCATGACTGGTACCATCGTCTTCATCTTCTGTGTCGTCTTCGTCATCATCGTCAACCCGCATCACAAAGGCCTTCTCCCTCGTACCGCCGCAGTTATTAGCCCTAAATTGACCAAACAAATCTAATTGAACCTCATGGGACGGCAAATCACTAGAGCCAGACGCAAGTGAGAGATTACCAATCCGGCGGCTGCTTCAGGGGTGTGGGCGGCGCAGCGCGGTGGGTGGCGTCCAGCGCGTCAAGCTCGGCGAGCACATCGCCGAGCGTCCAGCTCGGGCGCGGGTCCAGGTCCTTGGGACACCGCAGCTCCACACGCTCAAAGCCCCTGCGGGGGAGGCAAAACAGAGAGGGGGAAGCAGAAAGCAGGTCAGTCACGACGAACACCAACGTAAGGGAGGAGGCAAACTGAGGAGACGGCAGGCCGCGATTACATCGCGGTCGTCCCCGTCGCCGCGGCCCGGTCGCCAGGGAGGTGGCCAGGGCTCCGGCCTTCTGGAGCTGTATAGGGTTCGTCCTTGTGCGTTTCGCGTGAGATGCACGCTTTGGCACAGACCGGATTCCGGAACCCAAGCAGCGCAGGAGCGGAGCAGGTGCCGGGTGCGCTTTCAAACGAAGCAAACCTCCTCTGCGTCAAAACGTCAAAAAGCTAGCGCGCGCAATGTCCGCCACCACTAGCGTTTCCCTCGTCGTCGCCGATGCCGTCTGGGCGGAGATCAAATCTACTAGCCAGGCATCCGACGACCTGGCCTGAGCAACTGGCGGCCTGGCCTAGGCCGCTGGGCGCCTGAGCGAGGCCGGCCAGCCGGGGGGCGGGAGCCTGGTGATCGGAGACCTGGCCCTGGCGGGCAGGGGGCAGAGAGCCAGCGACGGGGAGCCTCGGAGACGGAGTCGGACCTCGGACCTCGGAGGGCCGACGGCGGGAGCTGGAGGGGGGCGGGCGTCCGACACCGACGCGGACGAGGCGAGCGGGAGGGGCACGGCTCGTGCCTAGTGGGGCGGTGATGGGCTGGTGGTTGCGAGTTGGGCGTGGAGGGGGCTGTTGGGCTGGATCTTAAGATTTGCTCCCTAAAATTTTGGCCCACGACCGGGGCTCAGCCCCGGCAGCCCCCCTCGTGATTCGTGAATCCGTTTGGAACTATGATGGCATCCATGACAAAGTTACCCTAACATGACACCATCGTAAAGTTCAGGGACCTGATATTAAAATTCGAGACTTCGTGACCCGGCTGAGACCACCATACAAATTTGAAGACGGGGCAATGTTGCAACTACATATTAAATCAAGCTGTAATTGAGTAGTAATTCATGTTGCAACTGTATTTCGTGTGCAATATAATGGAACCAATTCTTTTTGGCCAAGCTCGTGCGAGAGTGCACACATGCGAGTGCTCTCGAGAAATGGAGCCTGCAACGATGCTGTAGTATTAGTGAGGAGAAAAGAGAAGATAAAGATAAGCTAAAAAGAAAACATGGCACACATTGTTCACACAATGATCAGTGGGTCACATATGTCGGTGCCTATCATAACGAAATTGAAGGTACTGATATATTGAGTGGGACTGTCAGAACGAAGACCGGAAAACTTGAGCCTCAAAAATAGGCCGAACTCTCTCATATTTGTAGGGACTCATTGGACTTAGCAGAATCGATGGTCACAAATGCTCAACAAAGTGAGGTACAAAATCCTAAGTGATTGGCATATCACTTGCACACTTAGACTATCTTCAACAAGTGGCATGCAAAACGCGACACAAACGTAAAATAGGTGATTCACAGTGTTTTAGCTGAAAAAAACAAGCTCCAACAGAAGACGCAAACAAAGCACCCATTTTTGGTACGAGGCGAACCGGGACGCTTTTTTTTGCGTCGTCTCTCTCCATGACACAAAATCTCTGGCGCCCGTAGTGGTGGGCCCGTAGGAGGCGTCGAGGTGGAGCGACCGGCGCAGCCAGGCGAGACCATGGGCGGGCACGCCGGCTCGGCTCGGCGAGCTCGCCATGGGGGCATCTCCGGAGCCGCCACCTTGGCTGACTCGCCGGATTTGGACCAGCCCCGGTGATAGTGATGAGCAGCCGTGTGGGGTGGAGGTGCTGTTGGGCTTCGCCGGCCTTCGGGTCTCGCACAGGAGGGAACGCCAGAGGGAGGGAGGGAGGCGCTCGCGTTTCTTGAGGCCGCGCAGGGGAGGGAGCTCGCCGCGTTTCTTCAAGGGATTCTTCTCCGGAGCCACATCGAAGCATGCAGCCAGCACCGGCCGTCGGGGAAGGCCCACGAGCCACGGGGGGCGGGGTCGCTGGGGCTCCCGCGCGCTCGACCGAGGCGGCAGCAGCGGAGCTCCCACACGCCCGCCCAAGGGAAAGAGGAACTACGGTCGGGGGCTGGGACGGGTCTGTGGCGGGAGCGGGCACGGTTAGCGGTGCAAAGGCGGGTCCATGGTGGGGTCCATGGCTGTGAGAGGCTGAGGGAGAGTGGGTATGGCGTGCCTGTGGTGAGTGGGGCCGAGCGGGCATGGCAGTTTTGGGTGCTCTGCTTTTGTGGTCACTGTTGGAGAAGGAAAGTTTTAGGTATACGACCACTATGCGTGACCTAAACCATAGAATGAGTCTATATTTTATGTTCCTGTTGTTGGAGATAGTCTTACACCCAAATGAATTTCGCGCTTCAAAAAAAAAAAGTAGGGACCCTGATTTCGATGGTGCATTGAAATGCCCCCCATCCTGTCCACGTAAGGTCAGCTGTCTAAATCAACCTCTGCCGGCACAAAAAAGATCGAAGACCACACAAATTAAGGACCTGCTGGCATGGCTAACATCCACCAATTAAGGTTTGTACACCCATATTTAGGTTGCCCGGTACGTACCAATTGAGTGGTCACCAAAGTCTATGCGAACTAGTCTAGGCAGCAATGACAATGATCGACAACCGCAATTCTCCTTATTTTTGTTGATGAGACCGCGATCGGTTACTCAGTACTGACCAGCTATCTGCACGTACCAGACATCTCCCAAAGTTCCAAGCAAGCAAGCAGCTAGCCCAACAAGCTAACCTCATGCATGGAGGGCTCCAGATCTGATCTCTCGAGCACAAGGTGACTGCGCGTGCATGCGGCATACAGTACATCTCTTGATGCATGCGAGCAGCGTTCTTCCTTGGCGTACTTACCTCTCGTTGTTTGCATGTGCGGTTGCCGGCCGGCAGGATCGCCGTGGTGACCGGCGGGAACAAAGGCATCGGGCTGGAGGTGTGCCGGCAGCTGGCCGGCAGCGGCATCGCCGTCGTCTTGACAGCCAGGGACGAGACGAGGGGCGCAGCTGCCGTCGAGAAGCTCAGAGGCCTGGGGCTCTCCAGTGTCGTCTTCCACCAGCTGGACATCACAGACGCTCCGAGCATCGCTCGGCTGGTCGATTTCTTCAAGACCCGTTTCGGGAAGCTGGACATCCTGGTAAATAATGCCGGGTTTGTTGGCCTTGAGTACATCCAAGATCATATCGATGGCACTTCAACGACGAGCGAGAAGGTGAGCAGGTTCTCAATACATCTTCGGATCATCAAATTGCATAGAGGCCAGATTCTGACAACCTTTTGCTTTTTGATGCGTGCGACAGTTTGGCGGCATGGATATGAATCAGAGGCTCGAACTGTTGATGAAATGGTGCCTCCGGGAGACTTGTGATGCTGGGAGGAAATGCATGAGAATAAACTACCACGGCACGAAGCAAGTCATTCGAGCATTTCTACCTCTGCTGTTGGCTTCTGACGATGGAAGGATAGTCAATGTGTCCTCAGTGCTTGGCCAGCTCAGGGTACCCTAAGCTATTCAGTCGTTGTCTTCTGCTACCTTAGTGATATGATCTGAAACCAAAGGCTCTTTCAGTAGGTTGCTGATGGGTGGAATTCATGTAGTTTTTTGGCAGCGAGGCGTTGAAGCAGGAGCTGAACGACGTGGAGAGCCTGACCGAGGAGAGGCTGGATGAGATGATGGCCATGTTCGTGGAGGACCTGGAGGGCGGCGCCGTGGAGGCGCGAGGGTGGCCCGTCGCATTCTCGCCGGCGTACATGGTGTCCAAGGCAGCGCTGAACGCCTACTCGCGAATCCTGGCGCGGAAGCACCCCGCGCTGCGCGTCAACTGCGTGCACCCTGGCTTCGTCAAGACCGACATGACTGTCAACTTCGGCATGCTCACGCCCGAGGAAGGCGGGAGCAGGGTGGTGGCCGTGGCGCTGCTCCCCGCCGGTGGGCCGACCGGTGCCTACTTCGAGGACCGCCAGCAGGCGCCGTTCGTGTGACGCATACACTGCTTCGTTCACCACCGGTGTACGGTTGCCGAGAATTTTGGGACGTGGCTATGGTCTCTTGCGGTTTATAGAGTTGGCACACGTTCAAGTTCAATCTTATGTATAAACCTTTTAAAGTCTCACAACTTTCCGTGGAACGAACCACCATTGCCCGCTTCTTTATTTAGATTCGGGAAACAATACTCTTGTTTATATAAAAGTATATAAGTTAGTTCTATTTTTTTCAAGGTATATAAAATTTGATATATATCTAAATATAAGTTATATCTAGTCTAGATTCATAATAAAAATTATTATTTAAAAAAGCCAACTTCAACTAGTTTTTGATAAATTAGTATATTAGAAACTAGCCTTAGTGTCCTCTTTTAATATGGGATCAATTTGACGTAGAACATCCTTTAATATTGGGGACTTGCTAGCGCCCGGACGTTCGATCCGGGTGCTAGCGTCCATACGCTGCCCGCACAGGGAGCGAGCGAGCGCCTAACGCGTCAAGCTCAAGAGCAAGCGCACCAACAGTGGACCCGCGTCGCCCTCGGACGTCGCCCACGCCGCCCCGAACGTCGTTCGCGCAGCCGATCACTTTCCACGCGCATCCCATGTGGAACACCCGATCTACTTTTGAAACATCCAGATACAACAGTTGCAACATACAAAAGAAAACAGATGAAACACTTGAAACAAGCGTTTGAAACACTTGCAAAAAGGCCTTAAAAACATTTGAAAGCTATTGCAAACATATGTAACATTCAGATGAAACACTTGCAAAGATATGTATGAAACACCTGAAAACACTTGAAACATATGTTTGCAACATGCATGTATATGCAACATCCAGATAAAAACACTTGCACCATTTGTCCGGAACAGATGAAACATTTAGAACATACACTTGAAACATACATGTATAGCCATTACAACATGTGTAACACCCTGATCTACTTTTGCAACATCCATATGAAACACTTGAAACATACATATGAAACAACTGAAACACTTGAAACATAGGCTTGCAACATGTCTGAAAACGCCTGAAAACACTTAAAAACACAGCATTGCCGGTGGCGCTGGATGGTGGTGCGACGTGAGCAGCGCTGTGCGACGAGGGAAGGGGCCAGTGCCTCGTGGGAAGGAGCAGCACGGGAAGGGACGACCACACGAGAGAGACGCTGGAGCAGGCGCTTCATGCTGGGGAGGGAGCAGGGAAGAGAGAGCACCCTGTTGCGGGACCTTGCGGCAGCAGAGTCGGTCGGAGGTGCGGTGTGGTGAGGGGCTCGGAGTAGCTGAGGAGGACACGACACCCTAAGTGGGGAATTTTTCTTTTGTTTTAGAGGGGTCCACTGTGCATGAGAAAGGCAGGACTAGGAGCCGCGTCCGACGGGACGGACGCCCGTGGCCGAGCATTTCCGTTAATGTTGGTATTTACTTATGAATACTGCTTAATATTGTATATGCTAGATGACACTATTCAATTATGACATTAGTTTTTAGACACTTCCAAAACGATAAAAACAGTCGACAGATAAATAGCAAATCTCTTAAAATATTAGTTTACAGGAGTGGGGTGAAAGAGAAGTTAAAAGTGACCATTATGCAACTGATCATTCTACCCAACTCTTAATAGTTGTTCAAAAAAGTTTGGGAAAAACAAACTGTTATATCAAAATTGTTAATGTCAATGATATCTACAACATTTTAGTTGATAATTTTTTATTTGAAAACATTTAGAATACAAAAATCTTTCTAAGTTATTTGATTTTAAAATTCAAAATCTAGAATTTTTAAACAACTTCGATGTTAAATGGTCTACACAAAAGTTATATTTATCAATGCGATCTATAACTTTTAGTTGATAATTTTTTATTTGAAGTCATACAAAGTTCTATATTCGTTTTATTTTTCTTAGATTTTGAAATTCAAACGTTATGTTGAGAAATTGTTATGATAAGTTTACCCGCTAATAATTACGAAGAGCAATTCATTTCAAAGGTCAATTGCCATCGCTTGATAGGTTTGTCAGTATTGAGCTGTCAATCGCCAAACCTTGATAGGCTTCGAATGAAGATTTTGTTTCAAATGTTCGGGGTATGAGCTATGGTGTTGGGATGGACTCCCACAACGACCAGTTATTTTCTCCATAGTTGATGGTTCAATATGTACAGGAGAAGATGGCATGTATGTTTTTTAGGAAAAAAGGAAATATAAGTGGAGTGTATTTTTTTCCTGAACTTATAATCTTTAGAAAGATTAAAAACCAAGTTTTTTAATATTAATAGAGATGTTCTTGCGTAGGAAAAAGAAGTTGACTAAAAATGTTAAGCTGCTCAAAACAGGAACTTAGGATTTATTTGGGTCCGAGGATAAGCATGAGTAAAACGAGACGGCCCCGACCCTAGGCATGTTTGGTTTGAAAGGTCTCTAGTGGCGAGGACACCTCGTATGCGAATATTCCCGTAAGATGGGGGCTCGCTTCGCCCCTAGAAAAGGAATGGACGAAGTCGTCCCACTTCAACGGCGTCGCAGGCTGTTTCCTCTCCACGCGAGCCGCGGGTGTCGTCAGTGCGCGGCCGCGGGCAGCGCGAGTACAGTGGCCATGGGAAGTCGAACGAGCTCCGCCACGCGCCTGCTGGTAGGCGAGCTCCGCCGCGTGCCTGCGTTGGCGTTCGAGATCCACCGCGGGCGGCATGCAGCGAGCTCCGTCGGGCCCCTGCTGGCTGGCGAGTTTCGCCATGGCTAGCCAGGCGTGCTCCGTCGCGGGCGGCCAGGTGAGCTCCGCCGCGTGCCTATGGGCGGGCAAGCTCCTCCGATCCATTGGCGGCTTGGGTGGACAGCCGAGTGCGCGGCGGCACAAGTCCATGGCGTGCCTGAACCTGTGGAGTCATGGAAAAAATAAGGTCGAGGGGGGGGATAGAGAAGGACAAATGGGGCCCGCACACAACTGCTTAAACTCGGATCAAAACATGTACGCTTACTAAGCAACTCAATTACACGCACCTCACACAAGCTCAGTTCACTCGGAGGAAATACCCAATGCTACACCCAGGAAATAGAACTTATGGGTGGCGCTCCACCGCGCGGGACTTAAGACGTGTTTGGATGTTGCCTGCCAGACAATGACCTTAGATTGAGGAAATCGAGCGTCTGGGAACACTTGCCTTGTGTCTGGCACGTTTTTCAAAGTAGCACATCCAAACGTGCCCTTGGTATTCTGTGTGGCTGCCGTTGATCCGGCCGGTAGATGTTGCCGTGCATGTCCCGCTTCTAGGTGACGCGTCTACGCAGGTGCTTCGAACTGCTGCACGCGCTTTGCACACTACTGCCATTTGCGTGCCCTTGGTATTCTTGTGCTGACCCCATTTCTCGTGCTCCTCCTTCCCATCCATTTTCTCCCCTCCAATCCTTCGCCCGCTAGCTGTTTCCATCCGACTGAAGTCCTGAGCCGTGACGTCTCGAGTCTCGACGTCGTGCGACGCGACGCATCGGCACCGCCGCCGCTGCCGTTCCTCTCAACGCAAGCAAGCCTCTCAGTCTCGGCTCAGCTCGCTGGCGCTGTTCGCTCTTTTCCGCAGGCTCGGGCTCCAGTGACGAGCTTCCTCGTCTGTGTATTATTGCCTGACTTGACCGGCCCTGGCCGGGCCACTGGCCGTCCCTCGCCCCGGATGCGGCGGCGGCGGCGGCGGCAGCGCGGCACTACTCCTCGTCTCCTCCTCATACTCCTAGCAGGCTATCGTGGCTAGGCCGTGGTACCAGCCGAACCGATTGGATTGGACGGAGGCCGGCCGCACGCACTGACGCACCACACGCCTCCAACCAGGCGACGAAACGACTCCACCCTCCACTCGGCCGCAGCCCGCAGCCGTCCCCATGTAGGCCGTAGCCGCCGTAGCCCAATATGATTGCGCGCGGGCTCGGCCAGGCACTGGCCGCGGCCGCCCCGCCCGCCCACCACCACGACACGCACCCAACCAGCGCCAGGCGCCAGCCGCCAGCGAGAAGAACCGTACCGTCACGTCGACGTTTCGGCGCGCAGCCTCCGATCCACTCCACCACCTCCCGATCAATAGGTAGCGGCAGGCGCGTCTCGTCGTGCACCGGGGACGTACGTCGTACGGTGGCGCACCAGCGCAGTCGCTCTCGCGGGCGCTAGCTGTTGCTGTTGCTGCCCTGTGGATGGATGTCCGGCCGATCGATCGGTCCGTCCGGAGGCCGTGCGTGCGTTCGTGCACGATGCGAGAGCGTGTACGGTCCTGTACGTTCGATCGCCTTTGCTTTGCGCGAGTGGGTGATTCTTCGATGCATTTCCGACGGCCTTTTTCCCCTTTTTTTCCCCTCCTTGGCAGCTTGCGGACATGGTGGTGTCCTTGTTAAACATAAAACAAAACAGGATCTTTAGCCATAGAACTAGTATGTTTACTTGCACTTAGATAAACCATCAGTCGTAGAACTTCTACTAGTGCAGTAACAGTAGATAGAACGAGAGAAAGAGAGGGATAAGGGTGCAAACCATCGGCTGCCTTAAAGGAAGATGGGCTCGCCATCACCATGCTTGGCGATAACCCGGTGGCAGTGCAGTAGCGGTGTCGTCCGGGGTCGGTGTAGACGCCGCAGGGCAGCCCGGCGTCGTAGCAGTCCTCCGGCGTGATGCAGAGGTAGTGGCGGCACTTTCCGTCGCTGGCAACGCCCCCTCTGTGATCGGCTAGGGTTTAGGACTATAGGTGGGGTGCTAGGCGGCTCAGGCGAACCTCGTGACTCGAGCGCCCCAGCCCCCACCTCCTATTTATGACGTTGTGCGATGGGGGTCCACCGACCATATTAGAGTTGGGCGTCCCCGATCAGGGTGCAGATCCAAGGGCCCATATTGGTGGAGATCAACTAACATTCTTGTCGATGCGGGACCCACAGGATGCCCCGCCAGGAAGGGAGAAAATCTAGTCCAACTATGATTCTTCCCATGTAATCCTAGTAGTAGTATTATTCTGTAATCCTACTAG